GTCATCATCACTGATGACGTCATCAGTGACGTCACTGATGACGTCACCGGTATCCGCATCGTCATCATCACTGATGACGTCATCAGTGACGTCACTGATGACGTCACCGGCATCCGCATCGTCATCATCACTGATGACGTCATCAGTGACGTCACTGATGACCTCACCGGCATCCGCATCGTCATCATCACTGATGACGTCATCAGTGACATCACTGATGACGTCACCGGCATCCGCATCGTCATCATCACTGATGACGTCATCAGTGACGTCACTGATGACCTCACCGGCATCCGCATCGTCATCAGTGACGTCACTGATGACGTCACCGGCATCCGCATCGTCATCATCACAGATGACGTCATCAGTGACGTCACTGATGACGTCACCGACATCCGTATCGTCATCATCGCTGATGACGTCATCGGAGTCCGCATCGTCATCGACACTGACGACGTCATCAGTGACGTCACTGATGACATCATCGGCATCGTCACGTGACCCCCCAAGGTCACGTGACCCCCCCAGGTCACTTCACTCCCCCAGTACCCTTCCCTCCTCCTCCTCAAGAGCTGCGCTCTAATTCGGTGTTACAGGGAGTTGTACACGGCTTTCACTTTTTTTTCTCTTTCACCTCTCCAGCCTGCCTTTGTGCGTCTGCCGAGTTCTTTGTACGAGGCTTTGCGCTCAGATGGACGTCGCTTATTTGCTCTGATGTCTTTTTCACGAAATTTCATTATGCAAAATATATTTTCTATTTTTTTTAAAGCTCGCAAACCAATTTCATCAATTGGGAGAAAAGTGACGAGTAATTTTGTCGAAATTACTGCCTGAAAGTAATTCATTACACTACTAAATTCCCAGCACAGAAAAGTAACTCATTACATTACTCATTACCACAAAAAGTAATTTATTACAGTAATTTCTTTACAGCAATGTCATTACTGCCATCTCGGATTGATGAGCCTCTCACGAGTGTGTGTTAAGTTATGCTTTCTCAGAGATGAATTCAAAGCAAATGATTTTGGGCAAAACTTGCACCTAAAAGGAGTTTCAACTATATGTGTTTTATTGTGATGAGACAGACTGCTGTTGTCAGCAAAGGCTTGGGAGCACAGCAGGCACTTAAATGGCTTTTCAACAGTGTGTGTTACATTATGCCTCCTGAGATTAGTAATGCTAGCATAGGCTTTTGGGCAAAGCTTGCACTTAAATGGATTCTCACCAGCGTGTGTCGAGAGCTTATGCCTCTTCAGAGCTGAATTCCGAGCAAATGATTGTGCACAAAGGTTGCACTTAAATCGGTTTTCAACTATGTGCGTTTCACTGTGATGAGACAGACTTCTATTGTCAGCAAAGGCCTGGGGACACAGCTGGCACTTATAAGGTTCGTCATCAACATGAGCAACCAGATGGCTCACAATCCCACGATGCTCTCTGGTGACATAGGTGCAGAAACAGCATCCGAACCAGATGTCCTCGGTGGCTTTTAGTGGGCAGCTGATCTCTCCCAAAAGTGCAGCTCCCTCACCTACAAGGCCTCATGTGTATTAGTACACACAAGCACAACCAAGATTGCCACATGGTTTAGAAATAAACAGCCATTATTGCAGTTCTGCTTCAGCCGAATAGTTTATTTTATTTTTTATTTTTACTTCTGTTCAAGAAAGCACTGAAAAATGAGAGCAGTTTACAACTCCCTGTAACGCCGAATTAGAGCGCAGCTCTTGAGGAGGAGGAGGAGGGAAGGGTACTAGGGGGGGTCATGTGACCTCGGGTGGGGGGGGGGGGGTCACATGACCTCGGGGGCGGTCACGTGACCTCGGGGTGTCACATAACCTCGGGGGCGACGCCGGGTTGCATGTAACTTGGACTAAATGCAACCTGGACTGCATGCAATGTGTGGTTATGCCAAAGCTGGCAGGTTGCATGCAACCTGAGTTACATGCAACCTGAGTTACATGCAACTCACAGTTACACCGGTGGCGGCGCCACTCAAGCCGAAAACGGGTGCCTAAGAGCTCCGCTCTAAAAGAGTTGACTCACTTAAATGATTTGTTAGTGACCGAATAAACCTCTTTAAGCACATATTATTTCTCAGAAATGCTACTTTTAAAGTGATTGGTTTAGATGGAAACTCCCCATGAACTTGCTCATGTTGGTCTGACCGCATGACATCTCAATGTCACGTGAAGTCAGTGTCACATGGCACCATGATGATTTCTATACTAAATTGTACTCGAAAATTGATGTTAAGTGACCACTTCCAAAGCATGGCATCATGATAAATTTAGCAGAAAAATTGATGTCATATGACCACACCAGATTATGGCATCATGCTAAATTTAGTGTGAACTGTTGTCATGTGACACAATTTAAAGCTGACATCAATTTCTTTGGAAAATGTGGTATGGAAATTTATATACGACGTCATATGACATAATGTGATGTCAGGTCATGTGAAACTGACATGTCACGTCAAGTGGCCTTGGGTCACGTAGCATCCGTCTCATGAGACTCTATGACTTGGTATTGTGATGTAAATTTTCTCACCAGATTTTCTGAGAATTGCTATCATGTGACCCTATGACGTCACTATGTCAAGTGCGGGGAAATTTGTTAACTTACTGAAACAACTATGTAATGTCATCTAAACAAATCTTATAAATTGCTCCTTGTATACTGCATTCCATGCATTATAGGTCTTGGAAGATAAAGGTCATTGCCAATTCTTTTTTTAATTGTATGTACTTATTTTTAGCATTCTGTTTATGACATCAGATTGCCTGTGAAAGCTATGTTTCAATATATTTGCTGACTTGTGATCCCAACCTGGCCCAAAAACTCTAAACAAAGATATAAAAAACAGAATTTTGTGGACGATTAATGAAATCTTCCGAAAACTCTGGCTTTCAGGTAAAAAAAAAAACCCAGTAGGATACCCTCTGGTTTCACTGAAAAATATAATAAAAACAAACAGAACCCTAGTTATGTCACTTTCTCGGTGCCCGTGAGAAAAATAAACTTTACGATGCTGCAAGTTCTTCTACGTCATTGACGGGTTCAGACGGCAATGCAGAAAAGCGCTATCATAGCCTTCGTTATTTTTTTTAATGCCTGCCCGACCCCTTTGGCGAGTCCTGCCTGACCGCAGTTAGACTCCACGATTTAACATCAGGACAGGACAGAGGTCGAGAAAGCTACCAAGAGTGCTCTACTGTTTGAAGAAGTTCATAGAAATTGCTCTAGGTACGAGAAGATGTCTAAAGCAGCCGCTCTAAGAGGCAGTCGAGAACCCTACTCAAGCCCCGCCGCAGTGTAAACTCCTAATGAGCTCATCTCCTGGACATCACTGAAGGTTTTTGGAGGTGCTGCTGCCCAAGTTTTTTAAACTTATATTTACTCACTTCGCGTCAAAAGTGACAGGAAAAAATGACCTCGCCAAGATGTTCATTACAAAGCCACTTCCGTGAGAGGTGCTAAACTTTTGAGATACTGGAAGTAGACAGAATAAATATGTTTGATTTCCGTTCTATGTATGTTAAACATAAATCTGCACTTGCTCAGCTTCTATTGGTGTGGTTGGCCACCATCATTATAACTCTGAAAAACCATGTCCGCACTGCTCCCACCGCACATTGCCGCATATTCCTATCCCACACAACGCGCACAAAGCCGCATCTGCACCGGGACACTCCAAGAAGGCAGCTCTACTTGGTGGCACACGCCAGAACTAGACGCAACAGTTGGCACCCTTTCATCTTGGAGGCAACAGGCAGGCATGGAAAGATCTAGGAGGCTATGGTGCAACTCATGGGTAGCACAGCATACTTGTCCCCCTTTGAGCACCACACGCCTATTAACTTGGGATCATTTTGGCTGATTCCACCTAAAGAGGCGGCAAGCTCTGCTTTTTTCAATGTAGTGGCCATCAGCCCATAAGGGAAGTTGCGCCCTGGGTAACGGTCACTATGACCATTTGATAAGTGCTACCCACAGTTTTTTCCGGTCTCTGAGGAAACCAGCTGGAAATGGGAGACGGCTTACTGGAAACCAGCAAAACAGCAGTGTGTGAAATGAAGATGTAAATCTTTTTGCCACGACAATCTCTTCCATCTTTGATGGACGGATAAATTAGGGTGCGGCACTTTGATCTGAGCCAATCCTCAAGCCACTTTGCCCAAAGTATCACTAAACTCACTCCTCGTCTTACTGTTAATTTCTATCACCTCCCTGATCCTGTTCCTCCATTTCTCCCGCTGTCTCTTAGTCCGCTTCATCTCTTGGAAATGCCCTATTCCTTTATCAACCCCTCTAATATCAAAGCAATAAAAAAGACTCCCACACTCTAGGTATGTACCAGACTTACCGTACCTACAGGCTCTGCTGTTACCTTCCACTTATACCCACTGTGTAAAATTTGTACATGACCCCTGTCATCTTGACTTATAAAGCCTGGTTCTCAGCACACCACTTTTTGCTATGACAGCAAAACTTCCTTTTGGATTGTCAAAAAAGTCATCTTTTCGTAATCCCAATTTTTCTGCATAGTAGGCTTCTTTTCCAATCTCATCTCCCTCATTTCACCTTCAGCTTCCTTCACTGCCTTTCTGTCCTCTTCATTCTTTCCCATCATTATCCCAGCACCTGTTAGACAGCCCACTTCCTCTATTCTATGTCCAAACCCCTCGTGTATAAAAGGCCAACATTTATTATGTCCAACGCTCCATTTGCTGTTGCCACGAACCTCTCCTCACATTCAATTTTGCTGCTTGCCTCCCTCCTCTCCAAGAAAAACCGATATCACCCTGCATGTTTTCATTGGGGTTGTTAGCTCCCCAGAGGATGCGTTGCTGGTGGAGTCTCTCCGAATCGGCACAGACGCCCAGGTGTCTGTGGGGAGTTGTACAAGAAGCGCTGCCCTGGCGTATGAGCGCCTGTAGTCTAGACATCGTCACCGTCCCCCGTTTATAAAAGAGGCGGAAACAAAAGAAATTTACCCCGACTTGAGGATTGAACCGGTTCCATTGAAATTGCTGGCCAAGGTCAGGTTCGTGAGGAGTCTCGCAAGATCACGGAGGAACGCACAGGACCACTTGAGATGCTAGGAACCAAACGAATGAACAATGACAGTAATGAACAAAGCGAACACATCGTCCAAGCATATCAAGCTAATGTGAAAGCTGTGAGAATGACGCACACTAGACACATCAAGAATTTGGCCATTTCGAAACAACAATGACGAATGGATGAGGAAATGCCTGCGTGCCTGTTATTGGGAGGCAGCTTGTGCCACCTGACTTAAAAGTTTGAAGGTGTCTTAAAACCTGCTCCTTTTTGCACTGCCAGTACGGTAAAAATATGATTATTTAAAAGGGTCAAAACTTGCAGGATATAAAATCTGAGATAACTATATCTCTGGAACCTATTAGTTGTCCCCATATTTCTGCAAAATTTGTTTTTTGAATTCGATTGAACACTCAAACCATAAAAAGGTTTGAGTGTGCCTAAAAGCGTAAGGGAAAATGCACCCAAGGAAAGCTATTTTTTTATTTTTTATTAAAACTGAATTTACCTTTCAGTTTATAGTGCTTGATCTCCCTCTTATAAATCTCGTGTTAGTTTTGATATAGCTTGTTTTTAATTTTCTAGGTGCTATGCACATGCAGAAATAGACATGTCCTTGCAGACAGATGGGTCATGGCAACACACATAAAGGCCAACCTGTAAAATATTTTTCAACCAGGATGAAAATCCTGCTTGCCACTCTTCCTATTTCCCCCTCTCCCACTCTTAACTTGATGGCTTGGAGGGAGGGGGGAAAGAAGCAGGGGAGACTCCTTTTGTTGCTGTGTTTTGGGGCTGGATGAGAAGGGGTAAGCTCCCAGCTTATCCCGTCTCACCCAAGATGCAGCAACAAAAGGAGTCCTTAGCAGTCAAGATAGAAGTGGAGAGGGGGAATAGGAAAATGTGGCGAGGATGATTTTCACCCTGGTTGAAAAATATTATGAGCATCGAGCTTTAAAGGAGCCAAGTAAAATTAACTAATTTGCTTCTTTTAAAGGGGGACCTGCAAAAGTATTCTTCCGCCTGGCAGAAAGTCCCCCTCTCTCTGTTTTGCCCTTTCCCTTTTGTCTAGCTACATGGTGAGGGGGACAAGGTCCCCTTTTGTAGCGGCTTCTTCTAAGAGGATAAGACTAGAAAAGCCCATAATCAGCAGCAGGCATTTTGGCCCCTCCCAAACTCTAGCCCTCAGGGTGGATGTTTTACGAAGCTGGAAGGCTGTGGCACTGGCAGGCAGTCACCGACTTGAGGTGCCGAAGTTGTTTGGCGGCAGCCTGTATCAAAGTAAACGCTTACTGGAGACCCCACACCCATTGAACATACTTTTCATACTTATTCGCAATTTCTCAAATAAAGAGTGCAGAACGCGTGCGCAAGATGTGGTGGTTTCAATATCTGAGGATCATTTGCATATTCACAAAACATTCAGCATCCTCAAAAAGCCAGCCAATCACGCTCAACTCGCCTCAAAGGGGGACGATGGAAAAGATCAAGGCTTGAGAATATTAGCAGATCTCCGTTTTCGTACAGCGCGCACAAATTATTGTGCGCCTAACTTGCAGGATATGATGGCCAACGAAATGTGGATGAAATTTATATTTACATATCCCAACAACCACATCAGTTGAAAGGGCAGCAAGGGTGAGTGTCGATATTAGGAAGTTTTAGTAAATCGTTTTTAGCCCTCCGATAACCGTACTACACAACAATATATAAGCTAGCCTTATGAACATTCTTTATCGAGCACGGCTATCGGAGCAGAAAACGCAAAACCAATATTGGGGGTTTAGCGTGTCGTGTTATCACTCAACATTGCTTGTATCAGTGCTATAGCACGAGCTGCCACTTCAAATAATTCTTTGAAGTCTTCAAAAATTTAGAGCAAAAGCTGCTCATATTTTTAACATGACACAGGATTGTAATTTGACATTTTAAAGACCTACCTAACAGCATTTCCTTCATCTATAAAACTTTTTGGTGATGATTGTGTTATTTATCGCCAAATTCTGGATCCTGGTGATCCTTCCACCCTTCATTTCAGTCTGACCTGGATAACATTTCATTTTGGTGTGGTACCTGGCTAGTGAAACTTAACGCAACCAAATGCAAGTCGATGAGAATTTCATGCAATTCTAATAATGTCGACAATTCTAATAATGCCATGCGACTACTTACTTATTGATGTTTCCTAAGAGTTTCCTCCTACAGGTATGTAAGCATTACAATTTCTGACAACCTTTCATGGCAATATCACGTGGACGTTATCACAACTAATGCTACTCGTTCACTTGGTTATCTACGGAGAAACTCTTCTTTAGCCCCAACTAACTTGAAAAATCTGCTCTATAAATCTTTAGTCCGATCAAAGCTAGAATATGCATCATCAATCTGGGACCCTAATATCAACTCTCTTATTTTACAAATAGAAGCCATCCAGAACCAATCCACACGTTTAATTTTTTCTAATTACTTCCGTACCAAAAGTGTCTCTTCAATGAAATTTAATCTTAACTTACCCAATCTTTCATTGCGTCGTAAAATGTTTTGTCTGTGTCTATTTCTAAGATTTATCACTTTAACTCCCGCAGCGACCACCAGTACAAGGTTGACGTGCCAAGCAGCCGTACTAATTTACATTTCCACTCCTTCATTCCTAGGACTTGCGCCGACTGGAACCACCTCCCCACCTCTACAGCCTTGATCACCAACACCGTCCGCTTCAAATTTGCCATTTGCAACCATTTTTTTGTAATCCTGCTGTTGTATTTATGTTGACATTTATTTTTTGTTTGTTTGCTTCACCCACTCTTCTCTGTAATGCCTCAGCCTCGAGAGTAAATAAATAATCTAGACGTGGGTGCTTGTCCAGTCAAATCGGGCAGTTAACTTAAAATTTCCAGAATTGCCAAGTTTGGGAAATGTTAATAGTGGGCACTTGACTGAAGTGGGTGCTTCTGCAGTATTTTACGGTCAATGGCTTTTTCTTAGGCGCCACAAACTGCAAACCCTGGACACTCTCAAGCTTTATGTGACACTTCCTTATGTAGGAAGTTCCAACTTTTGTCTTGAAGTAAATAAAGTGAATTGAACTGGGTATATGTTATGAAAATCATCCAATCACTTGAAAGGCTGCAGACATGGGAAAATACACGGTATACAGTTTTACTAAACTCATAAATCCACCAAGCAAATGTTTATATCACAAAAACGGTTGAGAACGTCGAACACATATAGGTGAGGTATTACAAACAAATAAATCGCCTGATGCACATGTGACAGTATTCCTATTATCGAATAAAAGCCAAGTTAAACATTTGTTACTTATCTTATTCACGAGTTCTCCCATAGTCAAAGGTAAAAGCAGCCAAGGTGAAAATCCTCTCCGCCAAACTTCTTATTTCCCCCTCTCCCACTCTTAACTTGGGAGGACTCCTTTTGTGGCTGCAACTCGAGGCTGGATGAACCGGGATAGGCGCCCGGCGTATCCAGCCCCAAGATGCAGTAACAAAAGAAGTCCTCCAGCATAAAGATAGCAGTGGGAGAGAGGAAAATGGGAATTTTCATCATTGGTTGAAAAATATTTTGCAAGTCGACCTTTAAGATCACGAATGCACAATCGTAAACATATGCACTTCTTATTGCGAAAGCTTTGCCGCTACTAATACGCTAACTTGAGTTACCACAAGTAATTCGTTGTCTTACTGCCAAATTCCTAGATGCTGCTACACTCAAAACTCGACTTCAGGGCGGTATGCGCTTCATAAAAATTTTACTCCACTCGACTGGAGTAAATACTCCACTTTTCACTCGAAATCTCAAGGTAGCGCCCGCGCTCACTCGAGTCTTGAATGAGGAAGCGGTACTCAACACAACGGCCGATGCGTCGTTCCTTGACTTCGTCACGTTCGTCCTCAGAACAGACAAACTTCTGTATGAACGCGAAGACTGGTGCCACGGGTGGCATGGCGCTGTTTGAGGAACAGACACAACCCTATGGCGCTGCTTAGCGAACGGGAATTTCTGGCTCACTACCGCTTCAAGGTGGTGACAGTGGCGAGTCTCCTGGGGACCCTCCCGCTGGAGACAAGTGCATCCAATTGAGGACTGCCGGTCCCACCGATGCTCCAGCTCCTTATCGCGCTGCGGTTTTTTGGCGCTGGGACATTTTGGGTTGTTGCCGGCAACCTGGCGAACATGTCACAACCAACGGTGTGCCGTGTCATGAACCGAGTATGTGGAACAGAAAAACAATCAGATAGAAAAGCTACAGGGACTGAGTGTATCTCCGTTTCACCATAACTTGGCAAACGGTGAAAGCTACGGTCCCCGTTGGCCAATCAGAGCAACGGAGCCATGCACAAGACAGCTCTCTGCGGGAGGATAGTGTTTTGATGGTACGTTGTCAAGTGCTTCGCTCCAATGCCCCGATTGGCTCACGTGGGTCGTAGCTTTATATCTTGTCTTCGGAGGACTGGTTGTCACAACGCTTGAACAAGCACATAACGCTTCGCCCTGTCCCGTGATAATGTTTTTTTTTTGGTCCGGTTCAAGGCTCTGACAACATACAATGACACTTTTGTAAGCTGCTTAGAGAATGTTATTAGGGTAATCCGGGAAGTCAGTCATACTGCTTTGGTACAAGATAATGTTCTGTATACCCTGGGATGGACCACATCGGATGCTGCGAGTCTTTCCAGCCATTGCAGTGCTGTAAGAGTTCCATTTAACCTTGTGCTCTGCGTGCCCCCCACTTAGTGCATGTCACGTGTCACGCACTCAGAACCGACTTACCCTCGATGGCTCGTAGCGTCTGCTGCGGTCCATTTTAAGGTAAAAGGGATTGCAAGAGGCTACACGGCTTAGTGTTTGCGAATGATGGATCACTTAGAGTGCTTCATTGGTAAATCCTGCTCGAGTTCAGCCTGAGCTCGCAAACATTGGACAAAAAAAAACTTTCTTTGTCCTTGTCACCTGATTCATGGCGGGTGAAAATCAATAGGCTACTCCTCTGTTTTAACAAAAATATTTTAATAGGCGAAATTTTAAATTAAAATTACATTCTAATGTACAAATCGTAATTGAGAAAACAAGCATACACTGCATATATAAATTCTAGCTTTGACGGCTGTTGCAAAGGCTGGCAGAGCAGGCAGAGTGTTAGCAAAAAGGGGAAAAGCATCCAAACAGGATGAGCTAGAAAGAACAACCCCCCTTGCCAGACAGAAAAAAAAAAAATGATCCAGCTTACAATGAGAAGCTAAGCATAGTGGGCTCGCTCTCGACCTGCTCGTCTTCCCCTCCTGATAAGAGCAGGATGTCTTTTGAGGAGGAAAAGGGAATGGAGAGAAAGAAGGTAGACGGGAAGAATCCGCTCGAAAATACAGAGCCACACAAAAAATAGGGCTTGAAGCGCTGCGTGGCGGCAAGTTTAACTACCCAAAATGTCTCAGAATCTTGGCCTTGACTATATTTGCCTTCATCTTTAATATCAAATGCGTGACCTAAATATACCTTGCATTTCTTATTGCGCCATTAACACTTATGCAAATTTGCGCTGCCATAAATAATTGGCCTCTCAAGCCTCGTTCGTCTTAGAGACATCTACATACTCAATGTGCACCAGTGCTAATGCTGATTGCTCACACATATCCGGTACACCGACGGTGCAAACAGGCATAACCTGTTATAAAA